TGTCCCGAGGTAATCCCGTCGTGTGCCTCCTGCAGCAGCAGCTCCCTCAGTAGTGAGTACGCGGGTACCCAAATGCGGTTGGTGCCTGTTTTTACGTAATAAACTCCTTTTGCTTCTGCCAGTTGCTGTGAATTTCCGGTCGTGAAAAATGGGTCGGTGCGGTATCCGTGGGTGAATAGGCCAGTTAAAAGCGGGTTGGTCTGGGCGAGTAGGATGGCGTGGAGTTGGGCGGTGGGGCGGGTGAGAGCGTCGGCGATGTTGGATGCTCCTTTTTTGTACGTGACGGTGTAGTGAAAATTGGACTCGAGATAGTCCAACCAGCGAATCTGTCGTGGGTTGAGATTCGGTTGGGCGCGAAGGTACTGTAGCGAGCGGTGGTCTGTCCGTACTGTCACGTCGGCACCAGTCAGGTAACATCGCCAAACTTTGAACGCGTGCACGATCGCTAGCATCTCGCGGTCGTGTATCGGGTAGTTACGTTCGGGCGGGTGTAACTTGCGGGACTCGTACGCGATTGGCTGGAGGCCATTCCCGAAATCCTGCAACAGTACTGCTCCCACAGCGATGTCACTTGCGTCGGTGACGAGCTCGAACGGACGGTGGGGATCTGCAATGTGAAGGACGGGCGGGGAGCACAAAATATTTTTGAGGGCCGAGAAGGCAGCTTGCTCTTTCTCCCCCCACGTGTACTCAACCCCCTTCCTCAGCAGGTCAGTCAACGGGGCAGTCAGTTTCGCCATGTCGGGGACGAACCGGCGCACGTAGTTGACGAACCCCAGGAAACTCTGCAACTCGGTCAAGTTGGTCGGCGCGTGCCAAGCCTGAATCGTCGCAATTTTCTTCGGGTCTATTTCCACTCCTGCAGCTGAAATAACATGTCCCAAAAACTCCAGGCGGTCCTGTAAAAACTCACACTTAGATGCTTTGGTCAGTAGGCGGTTCTCACTCAGGATTTTAAAAACTGCTTCGATGTCTTCTAAGTGCTGTGCTCTGTCAGGGCTGTAAATCAGTATGTCGTCCAGATAAACGATGACGCACTTATCTAAAAGCGGGCGGAATGCTTCGTTCATGGTCATTTGGAAGGTGGCGGGGGCGTTGGTCAGTCCGAATGGCATGACGGTGTATTCGAAGGATCCGTAGCGTGTTCGGAATGCGGTTTTAGGGCAGTCGGGTGGGTTGACGCGGATTTGGTGGTAGCCTCCTCGGAGGTCGATTTTCGAGAAAACCCGGGCTGTGCGCAGTTGGTCGATCAGTTCGTCGGCTCGTGGGATGGGGTAACGGGATTTGATGGTAACCCTGTTCAGTGCCCTGTAGTCGATGCACATGCGAAAACCCCCGTCCTTTTTCGGTGTGAACAGTATTGGTGCAGCGAAAGGCGACGAACTAGGGCGAATGAATTCCTTTTCTAGCAGGTAATCGAGCTGCTTCCTTAGTTCGTCTAGTTCGGGTTGGGTCAGTCGGAACTGTCGCTGTACTGTTGGCTGTGCCCCCGGTTCCAGTTCTATCCTGTGATCGTGCGGTCGCTGAGGTGGCAGTCCCGTCGGCAGGTCATCCGGGAAAATGTCACTGTACTGTTGTAACAGTGCCGCCAGGTCACTTGGTACGTCGGTCAGCAGTTTCTGTAAATCGCCTCCCTTGTCTGCTGCCTCGGCTTCCCGAATGTCAACCGCGTACACGTCGGCTCCGGCCGCAACAGCGCGTTTCATCGTGATCGCGTTGACACGCACCGACGAAGACTCAGGCGAGCCCCAGCGAGGTAAGGCGATGCTGTTACCGTTCACTCGCACGGTGCAGTCACCCGTCGTCCAGTCAATTCGCGGGTTGTGTCGTCGCAGCCAATCACGCCCGAGTAAAATGTCGGTTCCGTCGAGGGTCGTTGCGAGCATTTCCTGACTAAACGTGAAGTTACCCCCGCATCGAATCCGAACTCGGTCTACGCGTTCCCGTATTGCCAGCGGCGTGCCGTCTACCAGTCGTGCGTCGATCTCAGGTAAGCATCGGTCCAGTGGCAGTCGCAGTTTTCGTGCTGTAGCAGTGTTAATGAGGCTGTGGCTGGCTCCCCCATCTACGAAGATTTTAACTAAGTCCGTCCCAATTTTCCCACTGAGCAGTATAGGGCTATCTACCGTGGTACCCTCCTTATTCGGCCGGGTGTGGTCGATTGCGTGAACCGGCACAATCACTCGGTGAGGGTCGGTTGGGTCGGGCGAGCGGCGTGACCTGTCAGTAGAGGGCCCGTCTGCTACTGACTTCCAGCGTTTCCCTGCTGCTTGGTCTGTGTCTGCTGCTCAGCTTCCCCCTTTCCCTTAGCGTTTTCCGGGCATTCGCTCTTGCGATGTCCCGGCCGATTGCACGCAAAGCAGCGCCCTTTGAACGGTGCGGCAGCGGCATTTGCGGCGACGGCGCGTATCGTGGCGCTCTCGTTCGTCCCACGAGGCCGATGTCCCCAGGTGTTGTTTCCGTAGGACCCCGGTCTCGGTCGGCGAAAGAAGTCGAGCTTCTCCGCCATAGCGAGAATTTCCTGAAACTCAGTGACGCCGCGAAGCTGGATTTCCTGAGCGATGTCCTGCTTCAGGCCGCCGATGTAGCGGTCGATGCGTTCGCTCTCATGCATGTAGCCCACCTGCTCGCATAGCGCCAGAAATCCGCTCGTGTAATCCTGGACGGAACCGAGTTGGCGCCAAGTGCGGAGCTTCTGTCGCGCCGAGATCGAGGCCGCGATTGGCTCAAATCGAGCGCGCAGACCTGCGCACCACGCGTCCCACGTGCGATACTGGGGCACCTCCACGAAATACGACGGCGCCCAGGGTCCGGTTTGTCCTTCCCGTGTCGGTAGTGTCGCGTAGTCGGTCGGCTTCGTGACGATGACGCGCCACCAGTCCATGGCGGGTCCTCGCAGCAACGACACGGCGTATCGAATCTTCGCCGAGTCCTCCGAGACGTAGTTGGCGTCGAAGAAAACATTCATTGTGAATAACCACGCCTGAACGGTAGGACCACCCCGTTGACTCGGGTCAAAGCATGGCGGGCGCTGCGGTTTCAGCGGCATCGGTGACGGCAGTCCCGAATCGTGGGTTGGTGCCGAAATCGTGACGCGAGGCTGACTTGGGGCCGCAGGCGTCGCTCTGGGGTGTGTCGTGCCGTGGTCGTCGTCTCCGTCGGGGCGGACGACGCCATCACTGGCCGCGCTCGCGGGTTGCCCCACACTCCCGTGTTGTGATGTTGAGGGTGCAGGTTGAATCGGAGTGCCAGGTGCTTGGGATTGTGCTCTCATGAGGTCATTTTGCAGTGATGAGCGTTCTGCCGTCAATGCCGCGATTTCCTCGGAGCTTTCGTGCAGTTGTCGCAGCAGATCGTTCAAACGCTCCTGCGTGAGAGTGGTGACGTCGATGTTTTCGGCCATGACGAAGGGCGTCGGCTCGTCTTAGTCTAGGCGCAGTCGTGGCTGCACGCGTTTACGAGAGAACGCGAGGACAGCGGCTCCTAGGGGCTAAGGTGCGTGAGTCCCTTCGAGTGAAAAATCAAAAGTTGATTTCCTGGTGTGCGGAGATGCGCGGTCCGAAAGAAAGGGGCTCTGATAACCAAGTGTTACGGGTGCAATCAATCGAGGTAGCGAGAATTGCACTAAGGTGTCAAACGAGTACAAAATGTGAGCGAAGGCATGAGCGAGCATTTATACGCGAAACATGCAAAACGGTAACGCGGTGCGTGCGAACTTGCTAGTGCTACGCTGGAGCGAGGCTCGGGCTAGTCCCGAAGCGTAGGCCGATACGGCCATGCCAGCAGTGCGAGGTTTGGCAAAACAGTGCGCGCGAAGTCGGCGAAGTTCCGTTAGCAGTAACGGGCGAACAGTCGGCTGTTGCTGTACGCGATGTAGTCGGCTCCGTAAGGAATGCCTGAGAAAATTCCTTACACAGTGTCAGCTGGTCTGTGGCGCGTTCTGCCGCGCTTTTCTCTGCACCACTTTCCGTCGGGTCGAGACGGAATCCGTCGACGGAGGCGAATTTACTCGACGGACAGGGGGGTTGGTGCAGGCGGAGTTGGTGCAGACCGGGAGGAGCACGTGGGGTCAACGCCAGCTCGAGCGAGGACCACCTCGCGTCACTCCGAGCTGGCGTGGCTCGTTTCGGGCGGGCGGGTGGGCTGGCTCCCGCCCCTCGCGTGCTTCGCTAGGCGACGGCGGGAAAAGGGAAATCCCTCCGGGAAAAACCCGCAGGGGCGAACGGGGTTTCCTGGAGGGATTCGGGCGAGGTCTTCCCTCATGCACATTTATGACTGTTATTGATTATGTATGCTTGTTCTGCTCGGTGTACATTTCAATTACCAAAATAAAAATTAAAAAATAATAATCGCACTGGCATAAGTTGAATGCCGTTTAAAATGGCCCATCATTGTCGTAACTTGCGGCGACAGGTTCGCTGGGGTGCACCAACCGAGGCGCAGATGTGATGCTGAATGCGACGGGCAGCAGAACCTGTTGGGGGTGGCACCTGCCAACTCTGGCCAATGAATAGCCTTCAGTCCATCAACTTACCTTTCGTGGCGACTCTCTGTCTGAGCAAACGACATTTCTGGTTTTTCAGTGACGATCGCAAACACGAAAGTATCATCTTCCCAAGCCCGAGCCACTATTCTCGACACATCCAGCTGTCGCATGTTCTCCCCTCCCCCCTCGACGGAACACCTCTCTGTTGTGGGGATGGCTAGTGTGGTGGGTGGAGCAAAAAAGCGGATCCATTCCCTGAACCACCTGCTCCAGCGCTTGCCAGTCGTTGCATACAGCGAGGCACATGCACTTGTTGACTGAATAGTGTCGTGCCTAGCTTCCGAAGTGCATCCCCTCATACGATATCCGCTACTAGCACACTTAGCGCCTGTCGCCATTTGCGTTGGTCCACGCCAGCAGGCCAGCCGCAAGGCGACCGACGCTCGCCGAGAGAGAAAGAAGCGCGCAGCCCGCCGGGCTTGACGACGTCACATACTTTTCACATCGTCGCACGATGGGCGGCGGTTACTCACGAGTCGACATTCCCGAGGCAGCGGGCGGCGCGGAAGCTCCGACCAAGGTACGCGTGCCGCAGATCCGCGCAGTGGTAGAAGCGGTCGACGCGGGGCGAGGGGATGAGAGGGGCGCGTAACTAGGGGCGGGCAACAGCGGGGCGCTGATGGTTGGAATTGACGCCGTATTCGTCGCGGCGCTTGCGGCAGGGAATGGGGCGCGCTGCGCGTTGGTGCGCGTCACCACAGAAACCCTCGCAGAAAACATGCAGAACCCTCGCAGAACACATGCAGAACCCTCGCAGAACACATGCAGAACCCTCGCAGAACACATGCAGAACCCTCGCAATCCAACTTCCGAAGCCAACTATCGAGCAGAATCCCCTCGATTTCAGCATGGGGCGTTTTCAGCGCTCTCCGCCCTCAAATTCCCTCTTCCATCCGACCGACGGCACCGGCTGCAGCTCCGCGCCTTGCCGCCATGCACACGCTCCCCCTCTCCCCCCCACCTCCCTCGTGCACCGTGCACATTGCCAGGCCCCAGCCGTGCGCCTGTGACCCACACGCACATCACCTCGCCGCTCTCCTTGCGCGACCAGCTCTCCTTGCGCGACCCGCTCTCCTTGCGCGACCCGCTCTTCCAGCCCTTCCGCCGCCTCCCTCTCTTCCCTCCCTCCGTTCCCTTCCCGCCCTTCCCTCCCCCTCTCTGCAGCTGGGGGATGCGGAGCAGGCGCAGCGCAAGGCGGGGGGGACGTGCGGGCGCGTGGTGTGCTGCTCGCTGTGCGTGCTGCTGCTGCTGCTCGCCGTCGCCGTCGCCGCCTCCGTTTCCGTCTTCGTGCTGTACCAGCCCAGGGTGAGATTGGGGGAACTGGTAGGTGCTGTACCAGCTCGGGGTGAAATTGGGGGGATGGGACAAAAAAACAGATTCAGTTGGACAATTGAGGGAGGATTGAACCACGATGATGTGGCTGTGATGATGTGGCTGTGATGATGTGGCTGTGATGATGTGGCTGCGATGATGTGGCTGCGATGATGTGGCTGCGATGATGTGGCTGTGATGATGTGGCTGTGATGATATGGCTGTGATGATGTGGCTGTGATGATGTGGCTGTGATGATATGGCTGTGATGATGTGGCTGTGATGATGTGGCTGTGATGATGTGGCTGTGATGATATGGCTGTGATGATGTGGCTGTGATGATGTGGCTGTGATGATGTGGCTGTGATGATGTGGCTGTGATGATGTGGCTGTGATGATGTGGTTGTGATGATGTGGCTGTGTTGATGTGGCTGTGATGATGTGGCTGTGATGATGTGGCTGCGATGATGTGGCTGTGATGATGTGGCTGTGATGATATGGCTGTGATGATGTGGCTGTGATGATGGTCGCATGTGATGATGGTGGCATGTGATGATGGTCGCATGTGATGATGGTGGCATGTGATGATGGTCGCATGTGGTGATGAGCTTGTGGTGACGAGCTTGTGATGATCGCCCTATTGCATGCCCCACCTGCCCCCCTACAGGCGCCCGAGTTCTCAGTGGGGGGCATCGCCATCTCACAACTCGCACTCACACCGCTGCTGCCGCCCTCCCAGCCGGTTCAGCCACCCCTGCTGCCAGCCGCCGCCCCTTCCTCCTTGCCCACTCTTCCAATTCCTGGGAACGTTCCCCCTCCTGCCAACATGTCTCTGCCCGTCAACGTCCCTCTCCTTGCAAACATGTCTCTCCCTGGCAACATGTCGCTGCCGTCCTTGACTGGCCCGCTGCCCACCAACCTCACTCTCAACACCGCTCAGCTCGCTGCGGCCGTCAAAGCTGCAGCCACTGCTACCACCCTCCCTGCCAACTCCACCCACCCCGCCTCCCCTGCTGCTGCTGCCGCCGCTGCCGCCACCTCTAAATACCTATCCCCGCTCGCCTCATCCCCGTTATTAACATCTCCACTTCTTGCCAATGCGAACATCACGATCCACACGCCGAGCGGCACGACTCTACTGGGGCTGCTGGCAGCGCGGGAGGCGGAGCTGGATGCAGAGCTGAATGTGACGGTGGTGGCGGGCAACAGCAACCACGTGGGCATCTCCTACGAGTACGTCACCATCACCGCTCGCCACCTCGGCTCCGACGTCGGAAATGCTTCGGTGCGTGGCTGGCAGGGGGCAGGGGGCAGGGGTCAGTGGGCAGGGGGCAGGGGGCAGTGGGCAGGGGGCAGGGGGCAGTGGGCAGTGGTGCACATGCATGCATGCATGTGGCATGGAAGGGTGGCGGGTGTTTGAGATTGTGATTGGCGAATGGTTGCTGCCCGTCCCCACATCCCACTCGATGTCTTCCTCCTGCCATCCACATGCTTCCCGCATCAACCATCTCCCTAAGCAATTCAAATCCCTGCCCTCCCCACCCTACTGCGCCTAATGCAATGCACCACATCCCAGCGTTCCACATTCTAAACAGCTTCCCTTCCCCCCCACGTCCTCTCTTGGCGCCAATGCCTGTGCACCAGATCCCGGCGTTCCACCAGCCACCGCGCAGCAACACCACGGTGGAGGGGCACGTGCACCTCACCCGCCTGCCCCTGCACCTCCTGCCACCGCCCTCCTCCTCCTCACCCCTCTCCGCCTCCACACTCTCCCGTGACGCCCTCTCTGCCCAGTCCACTCTGCCGCTACAGGTGCTCCCTACCCCTCCCTCCTTCGCTCCCTACCTTCCGGCCTCTCTCCCTCCGTCCCTCCCTCCGCCCCTCTGTCCGTCCCTCTGTCCGTCCCTCTGTCTCTCCCTCCCTTCCTCCCTCCCTTCCTCTCTCCCTCCCTTCCTCCCTCCCTTCCTCTCTCCCTCCCTCTTGCTCCCCCTCTACCTCCTTCATCCATCTCCACTCTGCTTGCGTGCTGCTCCCTCACCCTCTCACCTGACATTCAAACCTTCTTTCGACATTCTCTCAATGCTCAAGTATATGTTCTCTTCGTTTCTGCTGCACTCGCCTTCTCTCTCCTTGTATTCCCCCTCGATGCCCGCTGCTGAAACAAGGCTATTCCGTCCCACCACATGCCAACACAACACCACCATCATACCAACTCACACTAACATGCTCCTCTCTCTGCTGTATGTTGCTCTCGCATCCCCCCTCGCATCCCCCCTCGCATCTTTCGCCTCTTGTCGTCCACTCCTGCAGCTGGCAATAGAGGCGAGAGCCAACGTGGACGTTTATAATATCGGAACTCCTTATGTCACGGTATGTTCTCGCTTATATATTCTGCCCTGTTTCTGTTTCTTGCCATTACGGCTCTCATACTAGATAATGTCCTTCTTGTTGCCTCACATAGCCATGGCTGCATGCATGCTTGCATGGACTATTTGTGTGCTCTGGTGTTACGGTATTCCCTTCTCTTCCCACACACGCAGGTCAATCTACTGTGTGACATGGAAGTCAACATCGCACTGCAGCGTGTGGACAACACAACATGTAGCCTAGAAAGCATTCACTTATAATACGGAATCTTTGATCTTACGGAGGAACTCATGTTGTATAATTAATTTGTGTTTCATAAAGATGCGTTTTGGGTATGCTCCAACAAGTCACTTAGGCGTGGAAACTTGCGTTCTTGTACTGAAACGAGTGACATGCCATGTGCTGTACCTCACGCATTCGGGTCTTCCCATTTCCCTCGTCCCGTGCCCGCCTTGCCCCACCACCACCACACCTCAAGCCCATCTCGTTATTAATACTCACCCGCCATCACAGCTGGTCTGGCCTTGACCACCATTCACACATCGGCATGCCGCTACCTCGCCGGCGAGTCGCTCTAGGCGAGTCGTCTCTGCAATCGTCGCACGCGTACTCCCGTTGAGCTCGTCCGCGCTCGATCGGCGTCGCCTTTGAGATCAATCCCGATCATTTCGTAACTGAGATTAGGTAATCTCTTGTCGTAAAGTTTCGAAATCATGCTTCTCTCGCACCAGTATCCTGGTCGCACCCCTTCCTCCTCTCCTGCAGTCTCTCCGTCTTTTGTCGGATCATCTGTTTACCACTCTTCCTCCCCTCTCCTTCCTTCTTCCTCGTCCCCCCTCCCGACAACCCCTTCTCCGCACGGCGAATCGCCGTCCTCTCATGCCGCCAGTCCGCCCTCTCAGCACGCCCCTCCCGCTAGCCAACGGTCCCAGCAGCAACGACACGCGCGCGGCAGCATGGGGGACAGCGAGGAGCGGCGACAGCAGGAGGGGACGGGCGAGGGGCGGATGGGGTGGCTGTCGGCTGTGGCGATCGGCGCTATCACTCCCGGCCTCAACGTGAGACACAGCGTGCTGACGTGGCATGAAATGAGGTTTCAACACGAATATTTTATTGATATGCAAGAATGATATGGATCTGTGGCGCAATGGTAGCGCGTCTGACTCCAGATCAGAAGGTTGCGTGTTCGATTCACGTCAGGTTCAAAACCTGGTTTTTGTCAATTTCTCATTTCCAGTCATAGGCAATTGTTTCTATGCTTTGCCTTGTGTTTCCCCTTTGTTCTCTTACCTGCCACTATTGCGGGTGTTCTCCCCACACCCTTCCTATCGTGGTCACTCTTCCCTCCTTTCTTCCTCCCTGTCCAATAGGTTTTCCTCATTCCTCCCTTGTTGTCCTCGTTTTTTCGAAATCAAGGCACCCTCTTCTTGTCACTCCTGCCATTCATCCCGCCCTTTTTCCCATCTCCTCCCTCTGTACGAGCCCACCCTCTATTACAACAACCTGTTCCCCCAATCCCTCCCCCGCCCCCAGCGCCCCACACTGGTGCTCATGAACGCCATCCTGGGCGGGCTGCTACTCTCCTTCGCCGCTCTGCTGCCCGCCGCCCTCCACTACTCCCGCCCCCCTGCAGGGGACAGCGGCAGCAGCGGGAGCAGCAGCAGTGGCAGTGGCAGCGCGGTGGAGGGCGGCAGCAGTGAGATGCTGTATCACGTGCTCTTCCTGCTGCTGCTCACTCTCCTGCTCATTGCTCTGCTCAACTGGTGGGTGTCCGGTGCTCGAGGATTCACCCATGGTTGCATTCACCCATGTTACTACCCATACATGCATTCACCCATGTTACAACCCATACATGCATTCACCCATGTTACAACCCATACATGCATTCACCCATGTTACAACCCATACATGCATTCACCCATGTTACAACCCATACATGCATGCACCCATGTTACTACCCATACATGCATGCACCCAAGTTACTACCCATAGATGCATGCACCCAAGTTACTACCCATACATGCATGCACCCAAGTTACTACCCATACATGCATGCACCCATGTTACTACCCATACATGCATGCACCCAAGTTACTACCCATACATGCATGCACCCAAGTTACTACCCATACATGCATGCACCCATGTTACTACCCATACATGCATGCACCCATGCTACTACCCATACATGCATGCACCCAAGTTACTACCCATACATGCATGCACCCATGTTACTACCCATACATGCATTCACCCATGTTACAACCCATACATGCATTCACCCATGTTACAACCCATACATGCATGCACCCATGTTACTACCCATACATGCATGCACCCATGTTACTACCCATACATGCATGCACCCAAGTTACTACCCATACATGCATGCACCCATGTTACTACCCATACATGCATGCACCCATGTTACTACCCATGCATGCATGCACCCAAGTTACTACCCATACACGCATGCACCCAAGTTACTACCCATACATGCATGCACCCAAGTTACTACCCATACACCCATTCCTGCCTCCCATAGAATGATTCATTCCCTCCCTTCCCTTCCCTCCCCTTTTCTCCTCTTCCCTACCCTCAATTCCCCCTTGTCTCCTCCCCTCCGCTCCTCCCTCTTCCCCCTCCTCCCCTCTCCTCCCACCTCCTCCCCTTTCTCCCCCACCCTCCGTTTTAATCCTTCCCTCTCCTGTCCCGTCCCCTCCCTTTCTTCCTCCCCTGCCTCACCTCCTCTCTCCCTCTCCTCCACTCCCCTCTCATCCCATCCCCTGCCCTTCCCTCCCGTTACTTCTCTCTTCCCCTGTCCCCTCTCAACCCATTGGACCGTTCTTCCCCAGACATGCCACTGCACTCACTCTCTGCACCAACCCGCGTGCACATCGCTGCTCCCACTCCCACGCTGCATCCCTATGCCATGCATACCTGGCCAAAGCAACCCTCGCCAACTTACCCTCCCCCCTGGCAGGTTGGCGTGGGAGGTGGGCACGGTGTCTGCCGATTCACAGGCACGGCAGCTGCTGGCACCTGCTGGCAGCAGCCATGGTGCTGCTGACGCTCACAATGCCATCGAGTCACTGGATCTGGATGCCCAGGAGGGTGCAAGCGGGCTGAGAGGAGTGCACGGCAAGAGACAGAAGAAGAAGCATCAGAGCACCAAGCGGAGCTCCAAGGGAAGGCGCTGACCTCCTTGTTCCCGCTTCCCTGCTTTGTGCTTCGTGTGACTTGTTGCTTCTCCACACTGCCATAGCCATTGCCCACAAAGCAGCCATGGGGGGATATGGCATGGGGCTAAACGGCTTTACCTGGTATCTCGAGTACTGAACCTTGTCCTGTCCTGACTCTCCAAGTGGACAATGCTGCTCGGTTGACACAAGGATGGAACAAGGATGGAACAAGGATGGAACAAGGATGGAACAAGGATGGAACAAGGATGGAACAAGGATGGAACAAGGATGGCACAAGGATGGAACAAGGATGGCACGGCATCTGGCCCCAATCAGCCATGTTCTTTTGCCGTATCTGGTCTGATGCAACTGGTGAATTGGGAGTTTTCAGACGCACACAACTGAAAAGCAGTCCGGTGGTGACGTGGCGGCTCATTTCAGGGCAGCAACAATGTGTTACCGTATGCCAACCATCGCTTGGCCATTGGCTGGGCTGGGTCGCAGGCAAGCACACTACCGTAGTCAGGTACAGTAACCCCACATGGCTAACTTATTTACACACCAAGGCAAGCATAATCAACTATGCACTGGTTAGCCCTTCCTAAATCAAATCTCCTGACAAAACGTAAAAGTGAGGCAAACGAATCTGCTCTCATTGCATGCCTTTGTGGCTGTGTGAGCCATGTATGGAAGGATGGCGCAAGCAAGCAGGCGTGCAAGGGGCAGCAGTGGCTGCTCTTGGCCGTGTGGACGGAGTGTCCACTCCACGGGAGGGAGCAGTGCAGCAGATGGTGTTTGACAGGAGCACGTGCACACAGGCATGTATAGCTGTCTCGGGAGATCATGAGTGCAGGGAGGCACCCATACATGCCTGTGTGCCCTGGCCAGCCTGAGCACACTGCCCATACCCCCTGGCGGCCTGCACAGCAGCCGTGGGGCGTGGCATGGTGTGGGCATCACACGATCTCGAGCTGTGTGGTGGGGTAACCCGCCTGGGCGCGGTAGTCAAGGAAGAGGCGCTCCAATGCCCTCACGTACTCTGCATGCACCGCTGCCACCTGGGAAGGGGGGGTGGCGTGGCATTGCATGGCATGGGATTGGAGGGTACATAAAGGTGAGTAAGCGAGGGGACATGAAGGCAGTGCAGTACTCCGCGTGCTCTGCTGCCTGCCATATGTGTGGGGGGGATGGCACAGCATGGGATGCACGCAGTGAGGGCATGGCATGGCAATGGCATACAAGGGACATTGCATGGGATGGCATGGTATGGGTGCATGGCAGTGGAACGTCACAGAGGATGAGGAGAAGGGAAACACATGCACCCATGCAGGCGTGAGTGGTGTGCAAGAGAGGGCTGAGTGAATAAACAAGGCACAGCTCGACAACTGCTTTGAAGCGCCAATCAATGAACCCCCTTGCACCTGCCCACACAAACAGCGCTCGCTTTGCATCCGCACAACACATTTCTCACACTCACAGCCACTTCACCATTTCCACTTCACCATTTCCACTTCACCATTTCCACTTCACCATTTCCACCTCACCATTTCCACCTCACCATTTCCACCTCACCATTTCCACCTCACCAATTCCACTTCACCATTTCCACCTCACCATTTCCACCTCACCATTTCCACTTCACCAATTCCACTTCAGCACCGTGCCTGACCTGACATGCGTTCAACGTACCCTTTCTTTTGAGGGGTTGGGGTCAGGGTCACCCTGGCCGATGGGAGTGGCGATGGCGATGGTGAGGGGCGTGCGGAAGGGGATGGGCGACCCCCACATGCCCCAGAAGACCATCGGCGCAAACCCCATTCTCCGCGCCACCCACCGGTACCATGCCCCCTCTGGCCTCCACCAGCGATATGCACTGGTCTGAGGGATGGGGGGAAGGGAAGAGGGGGGAGATGGGGGCGGGAGAGGGAGGAGGGAAGGGAAGGGAGGGGGAAGGGGGAGGAAGGAGGTGGGAGGACGTGGAGCATGAGGGGCTGGAGGATAGATGAGGGAAGTGCGAGTAGAGGTGCGTGTGCACCATGGCACCATGCCACCATGGCACCATGCCACCATGCCACCATGCCACCTTGCCACCATGCCACCATGCCACCACGCCACCATGCCACCATGCCACCATGCCACCATGCCACCATGCCACCTTGCCACCATGCCACCATGCCACCATGCCACCATGCCACCATGCCACCATGCCACCATGCCACCATGCCACCATGCCACCATGCCACCATGCCACCTTGCCACCATGCCACCATGCCACCATGCCACCATGCCACCTTGCCACCATGCCACCATGCCACCTTGCCACCATGCCACCATGCCACCATGCCACCATGCCACCATGCCACCATGCCACCTTGCCACCATGCCACCATGCCACCATGCCACCATACCACCTTGCCACCATGCCACCATGCCACCATGCCACCATGCCACCATGCCACCTTGCCACCATGCCACCATGCCACCTGCCACCATGCCACCATGCCACCATGCCACCATGCCACCATGCCACCTTGCCACCATGCCACCATGCCACCATGCCACCATGCCACCATGCCACCTTGCCACCATGCCACCATGCCACCATGCCACCATGCCACCATGCCACCATGCCACCTTGCCACCATGCCACCATGCCACCATGCCACCTTGCCACCATGCCACCATGCCACCATGCCACCATGCCACCATGCCACCTTGCCACCATGCCACCATGCCACCTTGCCACCATGCCACCATGCCACCATGCCACCATGCCACCATGCCACCTTGCCATGCCACCATGCCACCATGCCACCATGCCACCATGCCACCATGCCACCATGCCACCATGCCACCATGCCACCTTGCCACCATGGCATCATGCCACCATGCCACCATGGCACCATGGCACCATGCCACCATGGCACCATGGCACCATTGCACCATGGGGGGAATGGGATGGAAAGAGGAGAGGACAAAGAGAGGAGGAGAACAAGCTTTCTCTGGCAGGGTCGATGCGAGGCGAGAGGGGGCCATGAGGGGATGGAGGCGAGGCGAGGGTTGGAGTGCTGTGCAGCGTGGCGGCATGGTCTGCCTCCATTCTGGGTGTGCCCCGGTGCGTGGGGGGTGCAGGGCAAGGGAGGCACGAGAAGGGGTCAAGTGTGGAAGCCAGGAGGGGGGAGAGGGACTGAACGAGGGGAATGCATGGAGCACACAAGCTTGCTTTGGCAGGGCAGAGGCGAGGCAAGCAGCAAGGAATGAGAAGGAAGGCAGAGTGTGGAGGAGAGAGTGTTTGCTTCAGCAGCGCACAGGAACAGAGCCCAGTGCCCACTTCCCACCGCCCACCACCCGCCCCCACTGCCCCCAGCCCAGCCCCCAGCCCCTCGCCCCCCCGCTCCCAGACCGCGTCCCCCAACCCACGGAGCCCGCCCCTCGGCCCCCGCCCCGCGCGTCCCCTGCCCACTGCCCCTTGCACCTGGCCGAAGGCGAAGCAGGGCAGCACGGGCACGCCGTGCTGCAGCGCCAGGCGGATGAAGCCCAAGCGCTGGCGGATGAACACCACCTGGCGGGTGGCGTGGGGCGGGGGGAGGAGGTGCGGTTGTGGGGGTTGGGGGTGGGGGGGGGGGGGAAGGAGGAAGGGGGGGGGCAGGGGGTTCGGTGGGTGTGTGGAGGGACAGGGAAGATGGCAGAGGAGGGGGGGAGAGGGACGTGAAGCCAAATTGGAGAGGATGTGAAGAGTGTGGCGATACAAGCATGCGAAGGATATGGGGAGAGGGCGGTACGAGGGAGAGGGAAAGGGAGAGAGGAAGGTGCGAAGGAAAAAGAGCGAGGGGTGTGGGAAAAGGTTGGAGTAGGGGTAAGGGAGGAGCCAAATTGGGAAGAGGGGGATGGGGGATTTTGCATGACACAGCGACGAACGAGTACCGCACCCCACATGCACTTTTCCCCCGTGCATGCACATTCACACACCCCATCCCTCAACACAACCCATTCCGCCACACCCCATCCCGCCCCACCCTACTCCTCAAGGTGGAAAATTGCGCTGAGCGAAATTTTCGAGCCGAATTTTTCGATCCAAATTTTCGGCCGTTTTTGTAATATTTCGGCGAAATTTTAATGGACCTAAAAAAAAAAAAGACAGATCCGCCCTAAATTTGATGGCGAAATTCCAGATCCGCCCTAGATCTGATGGCGAAATGCCAGATCCGCCCTAGATCTGATGGCGAAATGCCAAATCCGCCCTAGATCTGATGGCGAAATGCCACATCCGCCTAGATCTGGTGGCAAAATGCCATTAGAATGTCCACCCATGAAATTTTATCGGATTTTCTCATTTTTTCCTGAAAATTTCGGACGAACTTTTCCACCTAATATTTTTTTTGGAAGGGGGACCGAAATTATGGAAATTTTCGGTCGAAATTTTCGATAGCGAAATTTTCGCCCAAAATATGAAAAATTCGGCGACATTTTCCACCCTGCTACTCCTCCGCACCTCCTTGCCGGGCGCCATGAAGAGGCACTCCTGCCTGCACGCCCATTCACACACGCCATGCCGCCACATGCCATCGCACCACACCCCATCCTGCCCCACCCCATCCCTCCCGCACCTCCTTGCCGGGCGCCATGAAGAGGCACTCCTGCACGCCGCCCGGCACGATGATCACGGGGCGGCCGCGCTGCAGCACACCGGAGAGTACTGGCCTGGTGGCGGGGGCGAGGCGCGCCCACTGCCAGCACTGGCGCAGCAGCGGCACGCGGAAGATGGCGCTCGTGGCGCCCGCCACCCCCCCCGCTGCCAGCGCGTGGCACATGAACGCGCCCAGCCCCACCGGCAGCACCGAATGCGGCTCCACTGCTATCACTGCGATGACCCAGGGTGGGGGGAAGGTGGGGGGAGGAGAAGCGGGGAAGAGAAGGGGGAAGGGGGGAGGGGGGAGGGGGAAGGGGGAAAGGAAAGGGAAAAGGGGGGAGATAGGCGGGATAGCAAAGGAGTGGGTAAGAACGGCGCATGCTGACCGCACACCCTCGGCTGCCATCCTCCTTCCTCCACTTGTGCTGCAGGCCTCCTCCCTCACAGCTTTCTACTTGCAGAAACATAAACATTCACCTCAAAACACGCACATGCACATGGGCACGAGCACGGGCACAAGCGAGAGTGGCATGTGCACACCTATCCATTCACCACCCCACGAACATCACGCACCCACACACCACCCGTGCACCTGCCAACACGCCCCACCCCTGCTCCCCTCCCCCCCAAGTTGCTGGCATCGCACCGTAGGGCTTGCCGAAGGTGACGGCGGTGCGGTCATGGAAGAGCACGCGCACGGGGAAGTGGCGCAGCACCACCGGGTAGATGAACCTGCCATGGGGGCGAGGGACGAGGGGCGAGAGACAAGACATATGGAGGCGAGGCATGAGGCACAAGGGAAGGCACACACACATCACAAGGTGACGGTAATGCTGCGGTCATGGAAGAGCAGGCGCACGAGGAAGTGGCTCAGCACCACTGGGTAGATGAACCTGATGGGGGCGAGGGACGAGGGGCGAGGGGGCGAGAGGCGAGGGGCGAGGCAAGACACACACGCAACCACCACGCAGCAAGGGAAAAGAGCGAGATAGCGAGGTGTGCAATTCAGGCCGGTGGATATGAGTGAGAGCCGGCAGATGGCGGCCCGCAGCGAGGAGGAAGGGAAACGGGATGGTGGGTGAACAGGTAGCGCGGGGCAGATGGGACGCGCCCTCGAGAGGCTTGCCTCCAAGCGAACCCTAATCGGTTTTGACCGAGTTCACATGGAGTTGACGCGGACACAGCTTCAACCGTCTGTGGGCCGGAGGAAGAAGCAGGCGGCCATTGGCGAAGTAAGGGGAAGTTGTCGAGCGAAAGAGGAAGCGAACGGAGAACGAGCGGAGGGGAGACGGACCTGCGGTAGGCCTGGGCGAGGGGCCCCTCGACGTCGACGGGCGCGACGGCGAGCGTGGCGAGGAGCAGCAGCAGCGCGATGGCGAGGGGGTGCGGGAAGGTGAGCGCGATGAGCAGGAGCAGCGCGAGCAGGATGTGCAGCCACCCCATCCACAGCACCATCGCCGCCCAGTCCGCCACCGAATGCCGCGACAGCGCCGTTGCCTTGCCATCGTCTCCACTCGCTACTAGCGCCGGCGACAGCGCCGCTGCGTCGCCGTCGACCCCTTTCGTCGCTGGCGACGGCGGCGACTGTTCCGCCTTTCCGCCGTCGCTTCCCGCCAAGGCGGGAAGCGCTCCTCTGCTTTCAGCGTGCGGATGGTGCACGGAGCCATTCTCGACCGAAAGTCGCGGCGCCATGGACGTTGCGCGCGGGGTTGCGAGGACCACTGGCTAGTAGCAGAACTCGAGCCGACGACAGAGCTGGTGAGTCCTCGTGAGCAGCGAGTACACTCCCGCGCTCCACTCGATTTCCACTGGAGCTTCGAGCCCGTGGCTGCTGGCTCCGAGGGTCCCATGATGCCATGTGATGGGTTTGACTCAGCACCCGCCGGCGAGGGTCGCTTTGGGGCTGCCTCACAGCAGAAAATTGTCGAGCAACGGAATCGATGGGGGCGGGAATGTAACACCGAGGACGCGGCGTGCCGCGTGTGGGCTAGCAAACCCGGCGGGATGGGGCTGTCATCGCGCTCGAGCGAATATCGGGACAATGTTCGGCAGCCGAACATCGCCAAGCCGTGTGCGTGATTGGGCTTCCTCGCTCGCTCTGCTGGCATTCTTGGGTTGGGTGAGGTGGTCCCATCAAGAACGCAGTTCCCCACGCGCAGTTGTTCGTCGGTGCCTAAGAAGACTCGCGCCTTGAGAGTGCTTCTGCCGGGCAAGGTGGTCCCCACATCGGGCCACTCCCAGGTTTTCCTGGATCACCCACCCCACTGCCAGTTTCCTTTCGTCAGGTTTCGCTTGACGCGGTTTTGATACGGTCAACCACGTTTCAGAGTGGTTCTTGACTTACACCTCTTTAGACCACTGTGTACCAGAATGAACCTTTCAAATCAACTGTAAACGAATGAACTTGACCTGCAAGGTCTTGTGGAGGCGTACGTGTTGGTTCGCCGGATTTTCGAGATCGCTGCACTTTCCTCCACAACTTCTCCTACGTTTCAGGCCTGCCACATTTTCCGCTTAGATGGTGTGCTGCTACATTCTTCCACCATAAAGATTACATTCCCCATCCTGTTACGATGTGAAGTTTTATGAGAAGGCATTCCTGTATGCTGCAGGAGCCGACTCTACCGAGTACGAAGTTGAGGAGTCAGAAAGAGCCGAAGCGACACAGCAACTTTCAGACCAAGACCGATGCAAACAGTTAAAATGAAAAGAGCGGGAACAGGTTATGAACGGGTTCCCGCGACGCACGGTTTTTCTCTTTGAATTCAGTCACAATAAGGGAATGTACCCCTTAGAGTACATGGCTAGCCTAGGTCCTTTCGTATTCCCTTGTACTCTTATATAAACCCGATGTATGCATGTTATTATCATCTCAGTCATTTACATTCACTCTGACCTGAGGTCTAAACTTCCGCTGCAATACCACTCTGCGATCAACCCTGAGCGATCCTTTGCTAAGTCCCACTTGGGATTGTAACATGGTATGAGAGCTACTCAGGGATTCTTCGCAACTTCACTTCCGTAAAACTCGCCGAATCAAAACCTGGCGAGCGGCACGCGCTCCAAGACCAAGATGGCCGGAGGATCCGGAGGCCAAGCAAATCTGACGGCTGAAGGACAACCCAATCCAGCTGCGACAAGTGAGGCGACAACCACGATCGGCACTGCCGCCCTCGAGCAACTTTTCGCTCGACTTTCAACTATGGAGAAAGAACTCCAAGAACTGCGCAAAGGCGATGCGGGAAACTCTTCCCAACCAGCACAACCTGGACAACCGGCTGAGAAAAGCCGTGATACCGCCACGCACACCTTCTCCCTCGACACAAACAAATCAGCAACAACTGCCCCCCGTCCAAGTGATGAGGCTATCAACTCTGCGCAAACACGCTTTCTCAGCGTTTCAAAAATTAAGACTACTGCCGCGTTCGACGGCAAGGATTTTTACACATGGAGTTTTGAGCTGGAGCTCCTCCTACAAACGGCGCAGATCTACCATTACTTCGACGGTTCTTGTCAGAATATATCTGTAACTGCCTGTAGCTATAGCTAGTGTAGTTATTATAAACTTTGTTTGGTGGTGCACCTTCTTTGTTTCTTTGCTATATGTTGTTGCCAACCTATAGTGAAGCCCTCATTCTCTTTCACAATTCTCTCGACACTCTCCTCACCCTCGAACTCAACTAAACCTAAGCTACTAAGACTCTCACTAGCTATGGCTCCTAAGCCCTCTAAACGCTAGTATCTTAACATGGTATTCTAAGCCCCTGGAGCAGCCGCCCCAGCAGCAGCAGCCCCTGGAGCCGCCGCCCCAACAGCAGCAGCCCCTGGAGCCGCCGCCACTGCAGCGGCCGTCCCAGCAGCAGCAGCGCCTGGAGCAGCCGCCCCAGCAGCAGCAGCCCCTGGAGCCGCCGCCCTAGCAGCAGCAGCGCCTGGAGCAGCCGCCCCAGCCGCAGCAGCGTCTGGAGCAGCCGCCCCAGCAGAAGCAGCGCCTGGAGCAGCCGCCCCAGCAGCAGCAGCCCCTGGAGCCGCCGCCCCAACAGCAGCAGCCCCTGGAGCCGCTGCCACTGCAGCGGCCGCCCCAGCAGCAGCAGCGCCTGGAGCAGCCGCCCCAGCGCCTGGAGCAGCCGCCCCAGCAGCAGCCCACGGCGCCGACCCCACAGCTGTATGCACCGCCGCTCCTGGACTCGGTACGGCTGCCCGTGCCTATGCTGCCTATTGCCGCCCGTTGCTGCCCGTGCCTGTGCTGCCCGTTGCCGCCTGTTGCTGCCCATGCCTGTGCTGCCCGTTGCTGCCCGTGCCTGTGCTGCCTGTTGCCGCCCGTTGCTGCCCGTGCCTGTGCTGCCCGTTGCTGCCTGTTGCTGCCCGTGCCTGTGCTGCCTGTTGCCGCCCGTTGCTGCCCGTGCCTGTGCTGCCCGTTGCCGCCTGTTGCTACCCGTGCCTGTGCTGCCCGTTGCTGCCTGTTGCTGCCTGTGCCTGTGCTGCCTGTTGCCGCCCGTTGCTGCCCGTGCCTGTGCCGCCCGTTGCCGCCCGTTGCTGCCCGTGCCTGCGCTGCCCGTTGCCGCCCGTTGCTGCCCGTGCCTGTGCTGCTGTGCTGCCCGTTGCTGCCCGTGCCTGTGCTGCCTGTTGCCGCCCGTTGCTGCCCGTGCCTGTGCTGCCTGTTGCCGCCCGTTGCTGCCCGTGCCTGTGCTGCCCGTTGCCGCCCGTTGCTGCCCGCGCCCTTGTGCACTCTGCTCTGCCTGCGCCCTCGTGCGCTCTGCTGCTGCCCGCGCCCTCGTGCGCCCTGCTGCTGCCCGCGCCCTCGTGCGACCTGCTGCTGCCCGCGCCCTTGTGCGCTCTGCTCTGCCTGCGCCCTCGTGCGCTCTGCTGCTGCCCGCGCCCTCGTGCGCCCTGCTGCTGCCCGCGCCCTTCTGCGCTTTGCTCTGCCTGCGCCCTCGTGCGCTCTGCTGCTGCCCGCGCCCTCGTGCGCCCTGCTGCTGCCCGCGCCCTTGTGCGCTCTGCTCTGCCTGCGCCCTCGTGCGCTCTGTTCTGCTCTGTCGCCCCTCCCCCCCCCTCCCCCCCCCCCCCCCTCCTTCTTCGTCTCCTTGCTGCGCGTGCAGCCGTGGAACGGAGGCTATGGGGGTGGCGGGTATGGGGGTGATGGGTGTGTGTGATCCCCTTCCCCTCCTCCTCCTTTCTCTCCCACTGCTGCAGCTGCCGCTGGGGGGGGGGGGGGTGGGTGTGAGGGTGTGGGGGAGCTGGGGGAGAGGTGCTAGGGTTGTCAAGGAGTGTGGAAGGGGGAGTTGGAGGACTGAGGAAGGTTCCAGGAAGCAGCTGCCTTGGAGCCAGCAGCTTCACCTGCCAACAGCCTCTCCTCATATAGTCCCTCCTCCTCACTTGCCCTCTCCTTCTGCTGCGCATGGTGTACCCCTTCAGGGGGTGTCTCTGCATTAGCTTCTGCTGCAGGCAGTTATGGGGGAGTGTCAGAATATATCTGTAACTGCCTGTAGCTATAGCTAGTGTAGTTATTATAAACTTTGTTTGGTGGTGCACCTTCTTTGTTTCTTTGCTATATGTTGTTGCCAACCTATAGTGAAGCCCTCATTCTCCTTCACAATTCTCTCGACACTCTCCTCACCCTCGAACTCAACTAAACCTAAGCTACTAAGACTCTCACTAGCTATGGCTCCTAAGCCCTCTAAACGCTAGTATCTTAACAGTTCTTACTCTAAACCAGTGGAAAACACCGACGTCGCCAGGGCTCAGTACTACAGTGAGTCCCTCATGGCCTACAGCGTACTACTACGCAACATGACGCCTGCGGAACAACTTAACATATGCTCCTACAAAGAGAGCGACGCTCCAGCAATGGAAGCCTGGAAGCACCTCGTTGAAGTTTACCAGCCGAAGGATTTGGTCACCTCCAGCAGGCTTCTCCAGCGACTCCTGGAGATAAAAATGGGGCACGGGGAGAAGGCAAATCCATATATTAACCGCTGTCGCAACATCCGTGACCAGATCACGAAGCATGGGAGTACGATCTCAGAAGAGATCTTCGTCAATATAGTCCTTCAAGGACTCGGGCCTGAGTGGAAGCCCTGCAAGGCGTTACTCCGACAGCGAGGAACGATTTCAGAAGCCGCGCTATGCGCCGCACTCCTGTCCGAACAGCAAGACATGGACTCAAGCAGAACAAGCTCCGCGCCGCGCCGAGAGCGCCTCGCCTTCTACACGGACAACCGAGAAGAGCGACGACAACCAAGGCGCCATTACTGCAAAATATGTAAAGTTTTCGGACACTCAACGGATCGATGCAAATCCCGATCCAACTACCGCCACCCAACTTCCACTCACCACAACAACTGGGTCGGCCGACAAGACGCTCGTCATCCTCAATCTCAGCATCAGCAAGCTCGTCCTCCTGCGCAACACCAACAAAATCAAGGACCACAGTCAGGAGCTCCCAGGAACGTCATCGCAAATATGACAACACGACGCCGACGCACCACTGAACCTGACGAAGAGAACGAAGTCCAAGGAAGATTACTGGAACCAGAAGAGGGATGGAATAATCCCTTCACCGAGGATCATTACTACCTGTACGACGAAGACAACCAGGACTGGAACCTTCCAATCACACTGCGGGAAAGCCCACCTCACGAAAATCAGCGCTACATACCAGTGGGCTGGAAGGAAAACGAAGATCCTCACTTCCA